AGCCCCCAGAAATGAATAGACAATGTGTGCCTGAATGACCAAGAGCAGAATCCCCTCAGTTGGCTTACTGGGGACCAGGTGGGGTTAGGAAATAGACCTCTACTGAAGGGCCAGAGAAACAAGGATGAACCTCAGGTCCGGAAAGAAAGAGCCTTTCTTCTCCCGTGAACAAGTTCAGAGTGACATACTTTGGCTAAGGCTGACTTTAGAAATAAAAGTAAACCAGAAAATGGGATTGGAAACCACAATTTAAAACTTTATCATGGTTAGGGTCATGGTTTTAAGAGACATCCCAGTTAATTGGCCTAATAACATGTTTAGTGCCTCTGTTCTATCTCCTAGTTCGATGTCTAGTGCCTGGGCTTTTAAAAGCTTGCAAGTGGCCATCCAAGACACTTGGTCTCTATTCGCCTGGAACAACAGAGGAAGAGGGAGAGTCAGGAATAGGAGGAAGATACAGAATGTGTGGATAATTGCCTCCATGAATAACAGTCTCCTTTGCCTTGAGACCAGAAGAACTGCATGATACTCGACTCCTGAACATTTTGATCAAAGACTCCATAGAAGAGTCCTGATCAGAGAGGGGAAAATGCAGAATGGAATTTCAGAATCTCATGGACTCCAGACTTCCTGGAACCATGAAGGTTGAATGAACGCCTGAAACTATTGCCCTGAGATAATCTTTAAGCCTTAAACCAAAAATATCTCCTGAAGTCTTCTTGAAACCGAACAGTAGGTTAGCTTAACTAGTAAAAAATGTCTGTCTTGAGCATTATGCTCTTTTAAGAACTAGCTATATGGGACCAGATTAACAACAGCAATTCAAAAGATTAGTTAGGAACCTTAGGGGGCAGTGAATTTATGTTAATGGGGGAGGAACGACTCAGAAAAGGAGGATGAGAATGGTTATACAGCTGGAAGAATGTAATCTATGTCACTAAATTGTACATGTAGAAACTGTTGACTTGGTGGGTGTTTTGCTGTGTGTATTCTCAACAACAACAAAATAAATAAAATTATATAATAAAAAAACCTAATCATGGTAATGATGATGACAATGACAATCGGTGCCATTTGGTAAACACTAAGTATATTACGGAAGGAGATTTGGTGGCACAGCAGCTAAGCCTTTGGCTGCTGACCGCAAGGTTGGTAGTTTGAACCCACCAGCTGCTCCTTGGGAGAAAGATGTGGCAGTCTGCCTCCGTAAAGATTACAGCCTTGGAAACCTTATGGGGCAGTTCTGTTCTGCCCTATAGGGTTGCTGTGAGTTGGAATCAACTGGAAGGCAATGGGTTAAGCATTGTTCCTCATGGTCTTCTCCTAACCATCTTGCAGCGAAGGGACAGCTGTCTCTTACAGATGAGGGAAGTGAGAATCAACAAATTAATCAGCTCGCCCAAGGTCATGATGCTGGAAAGTGGCAGGGCCAGAGTTTGTCATGTTTACCAGGCTTACAGTACAGCAAGTCGTGGAAATCCACGTCATTCCGCCACAGGCATATATGCGGTCTCTGCGCTTTGCTCCCACAGCAGCAGCTTCTGCACGGAAGGCTGCCTGGCTGCGTGTGCTGGAGTCAGAGGGCCAGGCTGGGGGGAAGCAACACCACAGAAGTGAAGGAGGAAGCCCTGATTCTCCCTGGAAGAGAGAAAGAAGTTACCCGTGGCCTCAATTTCAAGACTGCCCTCAGCCGCTTTTGTCACAGGAACAGAAACCTATTTATAGCAATCTAAATCCTGACACGGGAAAATGGAAGGGGAGTATTTTAAAAGTTCAGGGAAAGGGGAAACCTGGCCATGGATTTCACAGCCCTCTGCCTCTGTCGATTCAGCACCCCCAAAGTAAAAACAACATCATCATCATCAACAGCAAAATCATCCACATTTATCATAAAAAGGAAAGTAACCCCTGGGGGAGTGTGGCTAGGTTCTTGCTGTTTCTAGAAGTCTTTACTTGGCTTGTCTGGTCTTCCAGTAAAGCTATAACCTTGAGAGGAGGATTTATGTTTGATTTTCACAGAAAAATGTACTCAGCTGTATCAGGATAAGGATTAGTAAGTACTCGTCTTTTAATTAGGAGCCCAGGTGGTGCAGTGGTTAAAGTGCTCAGCTGCTAACCAAAAGATTGGTTGTTCAACCCCACCAGCCACTCCTTGGGACAAAGATTGGGGCAGTAAATCTTAAACCCTATGAGGCAGTTCTGCTGCGTCCTATAGGGTCGCTATGAGTTGAAAACAACTCGACAGCAGTGGGTTTGGCTTGAGTTTTTGGACCTTTCGCTTGTTCTCTTCTCTCGTTCGTTTATGAGAGGAGGGAGAAGGAAACAGAGCGGGGAAAAAAAAATTTTTTTTTAATGTTGAACACCAATCTATTCCTCCTCCCCTTTTGGTAAAGAAATATTTAAGTCGTATGCATTCTTGGAGAGAAGTTTCAAAAAACACTCAGCCCACAAGAATTCTGTTCATCCCGCGAAAGCTGCCTTGGTCCTGCATGCATTTGCTAACGCTGGCTCCTCCACTTTCAGCCCATCAGCATTTTCTTCTTTCGCCTTTAATGCCGGGACGTTAGGATAACGCAGACATCTGCCTCTTCACCAGCAATGCTCCATGCCAGGGCTCCTCCTAAATACAAGCTCCCATTTGAAGTCAGTGTACAAGGAACCAAAAACTAGAGGCATGTAGTTAGCTGAACTTAAGCTCTCTGCTGACTTCCATTAGGTTTACCTTATGTTTAATTTATTTATTATAATTATGGTCCAGTATTTTTTTATTCTGTTTTTTTACTGTTATTGTTTGTTTAATTTACTTATTATAATAAACACTGTCCAGTAGTTGTAGGTCCTTCGATGGTGCAAACAGTTTGCCCTTGGCTACTAACCTAAAGGCTGTTGGTTTGAACCCACCCAGTGGTGCTTTGGAGGAAAGGCCCGACGATCTGCTTCTGAAAAGATTACAGCCAAGAAAACCCTGTGTACCCAATGGAGTCGCCATAAGTAGAATCGACTTGACAGCAATGGTTTTTTTTTGGTCTAGTATTTATTACAATGGATCACTGCCTCTATGGGGACATTGGTGGTTCAATGGTAGAATTCTCACCTGAGATGAAGGAGTTCTGGCTTTGATTCCTGGCCAACGCACTTGATGGGAAGCTACCACCAGTCTGTCAGTGGAGGCTCGTGTGTTGCTGCGATGCTGAATAGGTTTCAGCAGAGCTTCCAGACTAAGACAGACTAGGAAGAAAGACCTGGTGACCTACTTCTGAAAAATCAGCCAGTGAAAACCCCATGGATCACAGTGGTCTGATCCCATTGTGCATGGGGTCGCCATGAGTCAGAGGCCGACTCGAAGGCAGTTAACAACAACAAGTAACTCTACGGCACAGTTTTTCACAATAAGATTAACTGTGGGACAGGGGAAAAAAATCATCTTGGAGTGCTCTCCCTTTCCAAGCAAGGTGGGATGAAACTGCGCCTTCTCTGTTGGGGATCAGGACTGTGCTTGGAGGCAGCACTTGCTGCAGATGACAATATCTGGCTTCTTCTGGAAAGGAGCCTCCTCAGGCAGCGCCTCACCTGCAGCTCAGCTGGGAAGCACTGTGTGACCGACTCTGTGTTCCCTCTTCCAAGTGGTAAATGTTTTCTTAATGTCAGGTCACTTCTATTCTTAACGTGGTAGCATAATATTAGGCTTTCCCCGTGGTGTGAAATTCTGGTAAGCCTTTCTACATCGAGGAAGGAGCTGCTTTTTCTAAGGGAGGGAAAAAAGGCAGGAGGAGTCTTTCCTTTCTCTAGTCTGGGGCCAGCATGCAGGAAATGTCAGGCCTAGTTTAGAAACATTTTTGGTCATTACACTATATTTCTTCACTATGATAGTGGGTCACTTGGCTCTGTCAGGGCAAAGATGAATCTGGTCACTGAAGAATTGTTGCAAGAAGTTGTACTGTTTGAGGATATTTAAAATAACCGTTGAAATCCCTGCAGCATGCGATATCCTTAGCTTTGTTCAGTCCCAGTACTGGAGGAGAAATATCTACATGCCTAGATTTTATTTTAAGATATTTCCTAGATTTTATTTTAATTTTTTTTAAGAGAAATGGGAAAATTCTTCTTGTTGGTAACATTTTGCATTTGGGGATTGCCATCTCCCTCAACCGCAAAAAAGCATTACAACTAACAAAGGTGCCCGTGCTGAGGGATTCAACAGGTAAGCTGTGGTCCTTACCCCCAGGGTGCTCACTGACCAGAGGGAGAAACAGGCTCAGAAACAAGACAACTAAATACAATGGGGGGGGAACGCTATAATTCAAGCTATGTATTAAAAAAAAAAAAAAAAAAAAGACCAAACCCATTGCTGTCAAGTCGATCCAGCTCTTAGCAAACCTATAGGACAGAGTAGAACTGCCCCATAAGGTTTCCATGGAGCGGCTGGTGGATTCAGACTGACGACCTTTTCGTTAGCAGTTGTAGCTCTTAACCACTATGCCACCAGGGCTCCATAAACGAGCAATTAATTCTGCCTGGGGAGGAACAAGGAAGCCATGAGCTGGTTCTTGATTGATTTACCAGAACACCTTGTGAAAGATATTTCAGGTGGAGGAAGCACTGTGTGCTGATGCTGTAGATATGAAAATTCGTATCTGGTAACTTGGATGTAATCCGAGGGGGTAGAGTATGGTGGAGGTGGGTAAGAAGGAAGAGCTGTAAAGGGAATCAGACTGGAAAGAGAAGTTAACAAGGTGTATTAGGTACTGCCTCCCTTGAGAAGGCAATTGCTGAATTTATTAAAGCAATGACTAATACTTTTGACCTGCATTTTGGGCATAGGGAAGAGAGAGTGGAGAGGAATTAAGGATTCTTGGGAGAATGTCTTTATACTTGGTGACAGGTGTTTGATGAAAACTTGGAGATGTCTATCACTTATTTCATGTTCCTCACCATTGGAATTGAGCAAGTTGCCAAAACTAATCGTATATATAAGACAAAGAAACACTTATGTTCTCTAGGCTTGTCTGAGACGACAGGAATACAGAAGAGACCCAACTGAGAAGAAGCGAGACCAATATCGGGGGCAAGATACAAGTTTTGAGAGATCTCGGTTTTCAAGCGGATCGTCTTCCAGACAGGTACATAAAACTCTGGGAGACATTCTCTTACTGCCGTGAGTGTGTGTGTGTGTGTGTGTGTGTGTGTATTCCTTACTTAGGGAAAAGTGGACTCAAAAATGGACTCAAAAATGAGATGTTAAAAAATCCTAAAGGTCAGGGTAGGATGAGGCAGGGCCAGGAGCCCAGGGCTGGGCCAGGAGCTCCCATCCTCAGCACCACCCTCACCACTCCCCATCTGTGTGACCTTCCCACTTCAGCTTTGTTGGACCTCACTCTTCTCACCTGTAGATAAAGGGCCTGGTGTAGGTGGTCTCCGAGACACCATCCGGATCAGAAATACCGTCGCTCTGTGATGTTAAGAGCGGTGGCACTGGGCCTTCTAAAAATACATCATCATATTGGTGGCTTATGATCTAACCTGTTGCGTTGCTGAGTCTAGTTTTTATTTCAAATGAAGGGAGAGAGTAAAATGCACTTATTCATCATTTAATAACTGGAAATTATTAAATGTTTTTTATTTTAAAATTTAATTTAAAAAATTAATTATTTCAAAAATTAAATTATTTTGTCTAGGATGATAATAATAAACAAGAGCAATATAATATAATAGCAATATGGTGATAATAAAGCAGTTACCCTTATTTAAGTGCTTATAATGTTCTAGACACTGTGCTAAGCATTTTTTATATATATATTAGTTTATTTGATTTGTGTATATATATATATATAATTTTACAGATGAGTAAACTGAGCCTTAGAGAAGTTAAGAAATGCTACCTAAGATTTCACAGCCAGTATGTGGTGAAGCAGGGATTCTATTCCAGCTGGTCTGACCCAGAGATGATGTTCTGAACTGCTGAGCTATGTGATCATATTTCATATTTAAGACCGTACGTGCGTAAGAATTTTACTTAGCCTATGGAAGAGCTAAAAACCACAAGCTACATTTGACACTGATTGTTAGTATGGTGAATTGATTTAAGATGAGTAATATGCCTTTTATGAATTCTTATTTAATATTTTATGCCTGAAATATACTCTAGAGGATGGACTCTCTCTTTTCTATCAGTGGTGTGGGTCCCCGAGATGGATCCTTGATACCTGATACAAATCAAGTTCTTGTTGGGATTTCTTCTTTAATCTAGGATGTTCACATTGTGGTTATTTATGTTCAAAGGACACTTTAAAAATACCAATGACTGATGTTTATGGATGTAGATGTATCCCTGGAAGAGATATATACTGTCTATTAAGGAAAATAGTACCACACAATGAAATAGTCCACTTCGAGTCTGAAGGTGAAAGACTGTATCTCAGAATATCCGCGGCACCCGGAAGAAAGCGTCGCCTGGATCCTTTCCTGTTAGTCAAGGACTAAATATAATGCCTGTTGTTGATTAAATTTAGCGGGTGAGCTTAATCCAAAAATTAAATCTAGTTTGGCTAGGGCAACCCATTTTTAGCATTAAGATAAATTCTCATATTTTTGCACTTAGAAACAAAATTCAAGGACAGATAAAAGATGCAGTGTAATTTAAGTCAAAACAGTAGCTTGTAGCAATCTTCCTAGATTGGAATTACTAAATAAACGGACAGCTGGGTTCTTCTATTTTCATGCAAAGACTCATGTGCATAGCCACAGACATTTTTCATGGTAATACTCATGCATTTGGGATGTTCTAGAGCTTGAAGTTTTATGCTCCTCTCCACACACTTTGCTTGGGGGACAAGCTGGTAACTGGTTCCTATAGTTTTCTTCTCCGTGCTGTAAAAACCATTCATTCTTTAAATTACCATCGCAAAGCATTCATCCTACCTACAAAAAAGGACATAGTTGTGCATATAAAGGTAATTGTGAAATAGCTTCTGTAATCACTGACTACATGGATCTTATTTTCCAACTCTTAATTTTATGATTCACTTACATCTAACACAAACAAAAGACAAAAATATGTGATAAAATGCATAAAATGGGCAGTTTCCATTCTAAAGTACAAGGACGGGATTTTTTTTATGTCACTGTAGCTATGTCACTGTAGCTCAGTGTGTCAGAGAACTCAGAACAACATTACTTATATAATCTCAATTTTTCCAGTTAATGATATCCCAAGGGTTCAGGCCTTGATTGTAGGAGTGCCTTCCAGGCCACGTCTTCTCTCTCTAGAAGAGACAAAATCAGAATTTTCCACAGTGAAATTGACCTCTGCTTTTGCTCTCTGCGTTATAGATATTCTTGGGGGAATACTGGAGGATTGGCCTCTGGAAACAAAAGTACAGGAAGGGCAGGGTGAGAGGAGATGTCACTGACTATATCACTCTCCACAACCATCTGACTTGCTGTGGTCATAATGCTGATCCCTCCAGGCTCAATCGTATGGCTTTTGCTGGGGACAAATGAAGCCAGAGTTCTCTAATAGACTCAAACCAGATCCAGGAAACCTTCAACCCCCAGGATCACAGGTTGATTTTGAGGTTCCCCTTCCATGATTGGACCCCTACCCAAATTTCTATCAAAATTTGGTTGTCTTAAACTGTCAGAGTCTGGGCCTGCCCTGCTATATCTCAAACCCTGTAGAACTAATCACATCTCTTTCCACAGGGTCCTCAGTGACAGCGAGGTCCTGGAGCTAGTCTCCCAAAAGAGGTTGTGAATAAGAATGCTGGCACCTCCCAAAGGAGGACCCAGGCCACACTGATACAGATCCCATTTTCACAGCTCAGTGTATTGGATGTCACATCAGGTACTAGAGTAGTAGACGATCCTCAGTCCATCAGAAAGGGTCAGGAGAAAGATAAGCTCTGTGAGCTGATGTAAACCCAACCAAACCCCTCTATTCCTAGGTGAAAATTCCCTGAACGATTTCCTTGTAGAGACGGCTGTGGCTAAAACTCTAAGTAATGTTTTGCCTCTGACTTGTGAGGGCAAATTCATTCTCTGATTGAGTAGGTTGTATCAAAGTGAATCGCTTAACCCGTGGAGACTTTTCCACTGTACAGTCAGTATGTGAGGCATCTTGTTGTTGTTAGGTGCTTCCAAGTCGGTTTTCGACTCATAGTTACCCTATGTGACAGAGTAGAACTGCCCCATAGGGTTCCCTAGGCTGTAATCTTTACAGGAGCAGATAGCCATGTCTTTCTCTTTCAGAGCCACTAGCTGGGTTCGAGCCACCAACCTTTCAGTTAGCTTTCAAAATAGTAGCGTATAGCAAGCTTAACCATTGTGCCACCAGGGCCCCTGTGTGAGGCCTGCCACCACCATTTTGACACTTGTATTGTGATTTTCATCACTTGTTCATTCCTTAATCCAGGCTCAAGTTGTCACAATTCCAGTGGGCCTGGAGCAGGCAAGGCATTTAGCATCCAGTAACAGGTCCAGGGTCAAGATATTAGGAGCCCTGGTGACGCAGTGGTTAAGAGCTCAGCTGCTAACCAAAAGGTCAGCAGTTTGAATCCACCTTGGAAACCCTAAGGGGCCATTCTACTCTGTAGTATAGGGTCACTTTGAGTTGGAATCAACTCGACAGCAATGGGTTAGGCCTCAAAGTAGGCAGATCCCCAAACCCACGTTTACCATGGTGGTCATCCCGTCATGGAACAGTCTCCTCTAATGACCAGTGGCACCAACTGCTGGTTATGCAGAGGTTGTGTTTAATCTAAATCCAGGATAAGTCAGTAACCATCAAGCCTGTGCTGAGATGTGCTTTAAAGTGGTGCTTCCTAAATACCCTTAAGTTAGTGGTTTGGCATAATAGAAAAAGAGTACTTACGGAAGGCCAGCTGTATCCCTCATTAGCATTGTGAATTCAGGCAAACCACTTAACTTCTTAGCACTAGTACTTCAGTTTCCCATCAAGGAGAAACTTATTATTGTGCTTATCTCATGGGATCGTTGTGAGAACAAGGAAGACACTTAAGTGACTTGCTAACATCAGAGTACATTATAAATTGCCTTAATGTCCGACTATACTTGGAAATGATGCTCCAGGAGGTACTAGTGAAGGAGCAGGTTCTGAGGCTTCGAGAATACCTACTTTCACCTCAGCTGAGTCCCAGGCCACATTTCTAAAGCCAACCCGATGGAGGAATTTAATGTTAGATCCTTTTCAGAGTTATATACAACTCTGTGAACGGTTTAATCAGATCAGAATTTAACATGTAAAATAATAAAGTAGAATAACCAGAAGCTCCACATAACCAGCTAGAAATTAGATCATTTAGAAGACTAAAAAGCAAAGCAGTCTTTTGATGTAGGGAGAAAACAGTGTCCATCCATCGCAGGCCCCCTGGGCAGCTACTGGCCTGGAGAAGCCTGCTATGATTGACAGGGGCACCAGGATGTTTCATCCTCTCAAACCTTCACAGAGAGGGGACAGGAGCCCTGATTTTCCCATAGAAGATGATGGAAATAATCAGCCCAGCACTTCCGGGGCTCAGCAAGCTTCTATAAAGAGAGACATCATGGAGGCTTCTCGTCCTCCACCATCTTGTATGGTAGGGACGCTGTTGCCTACCACAAACACACAAGCCTCGCAAAGATGGAGGTGATGTCACTGCTGTTACTTCATTGGAAAGGAAGGTGGAGATCTTCTCTCGGTTTTTCACAGCACTGTTCACTCTGCTGCTAGGAATAGGATTGTTGTCCTTTCGTCAGCAGCAAGGGAACAACTGAATATTTAGATTCTAGGTCACAAGGACCCAATGTTGCATTGAAAGGAGGCATAGGCAGTTCACCTGATACCAAGAAGCAGCTGGCTGTGCCCAGACCTGGCTCAGTCTGATGTTTACATCAGTGAGGTCACCTGAACCTCTCAGCCAGCAAGGTAAGCTTAAATAGAAAGGCTGTTATCCAACATAAACATTTTAATTGTTTTGTCCATAATAATCAGAAACAGACTTTGGGAGGTGAAAATTGAAAACAAAAGAAACAAACGAAAAGCCTCTCCGGGGAAGCTACAGTGACTTAAAAAAGTCAGCCTATCTCTCCATACATGAGGGCAGCAAAGGTCCAGAACTGTGTA